TCGGCTGTCTCTTGTCTGCCTTTCGTTCTGCGTTCTGCCCTGGGGCTGTTTTCATTGCATTTCATTCTGTTATCCACTCCATGGAACGTGCAATACGGAATACGCGTTCGCGTGTAAAGTCAATACGTCAAGCTCAAGCAAGTTACTCTGTAGCTTTTTCTTTTCTTTTTTGGTTTGATCATTGGCGCGTATCTGTCTGGTCCCGTTAAATGAGTGCCTCTTTACCCTACATGCGTACGACTTATACGCATCACGAACAATACGCCATAGAAATGATACCAAAAAGTGGAAAGTGGAAATAGCGACGTTGCGAGAATATTGGGGAGCAATGTATCTCGCCATAAGACTCACTGGTAACCCCCAGCAATTGATCACACGTTATTGTCCCCTCTTTCTTATATTTTCGCTGCAACCAGACCACCCTTGACACTTCGTCAAGACGCAGTATCATCATGCAGAACAGCGCAGCAGTGCAGGAGGTAAACTTTTCCTTCTCTCCTTTGTGTTTGTGGGATCCGTAGCCAACGAGAACATTTTCGTGGGACTTTACTACTCCTTTCCGGAATCAAAACTCGACTCCTTCCCGCAGGGAAGTGAAGTGCGCGAAGCCAACGAGACCCCTGGCCAGGTGCCGGGTTTTTTGGCTGTGCCCCTCAAAACGCTCGCTTCCTTTGGTGGGATTCGAACCTCGCAAAAAGGAAAACGATAGGAAATGGCGGGCAACAAGAGGAGGATAGCACATCCCACTTTTATTATGCTACTTCAAAGTATTTGTATTTGTTTCCTCTGTACGTGGACATGATTTTCATCCTGCATCTGTAATTCGTCCACGACAGTTGTGAAATGCACTTTCCTGCCACAACAGGAGCAGCTGCATGGGTTGGCAGATGTTGGGGCGTACTACGAGACGTCCTGTTGGACATGGTGAGGCTTTTACATGGAGGCTTCGGAAAGGAGGCTCTTTGAGAGGCTCTTTGGGGCTCTATTTTGTGCATATATGTGCGGGTGGCGAAATCCTTATTTGAAGGTCTCTCTTGTACTCACTTCTGGACATATTGAGGGGGGAAACGAGGCGCTGGTCACCACATCGGCCGCAAGTTACGGTTCTACAGTCCCTCACCAATCCTGCATCGATGCAAATTGCACTCAGTTCATCCTTCGTCGTGAATCCTTTGGTCCCAAACTTTTCCTGGCTAACCATTATGCGGGCTAAACGCGCTTCGTATCTTACGGCACAGGACAGCTTTTTGTCGTTTGCAGAGTCTACTTGCCTTTATCTCATTACTCGCTCCGGCCTCGTTTCTCTCGTACTTTGTAGCCTTTTGAGTTTTATTTTAGTTTCTGTACGATGTACGAAATGCGGATTCGTCGTATTACCCACACAGAGGTTGCGGCTTCGCATCTCGCTCTTATGGGAATGAGACCTTTTTTCATAGCCTCCTCGACAGGGATTAGTTTTTCTGCAAGACTCCTACCTCTGCCAATGGTGACAATTAATTGGTACGGATGATGATGTTGACAAGGCTTGCACTGCAGTCCACCCAAGCTGCAGTGTAAGGACAAGTCTCTGGTCTCGCATATGCTACTGTATCCCTTTTTGCCAACGGTTTAATTTTCCTCGAACTGTTGGTCTTACGCAGCCCAGACGGCTGCTGGACACTCCGCTTCCTTCCCCCTCGGTCTTTTCCCCTCTTTACAATCGAATCAGTTGTTCTTTGCGTCCAGAATATTCTGACGTTTACTTCAAGACCGTTTTCTCTTCCCCATTCCGTCTAAAATACACCTTGGACTGCCTTCGACATATCCACATGGGCCCGCCATGCATTCCTTGTCTGTCTGCACCCTTGAAATGCGCCCAACCCCACCTAGACCGCCTGGAGTTCTGCTCTTCCTGGACTAGAAAATACTTGGGACTCAACCAAAGAGCTACATCGTACATCAAGTTTGTTTGGCATAGATTCTCAATTTCTTTTGATCCAGGAGCTTACATACATATTACCGTCTCCGCCTCGACAACGACGCCTCCAAAACGTTCGCTACCTGTCCTGCGAAACGGCGCAGTCATCTCTGCGTCTCATTTTTAACCTTCCCCTCCCCTCAGTGAGATATAATTTCTGACCATCCCAACAGATGAGGCACAGAGTCTAAGCAATGCGGCACCCAAAATGGGGCCTTTAGTAAGAAAGGGGGACAGAAATAAGATTGAGACGGCCGTGATCCCTCAGCAATCTTCTAAGCATCTTACATTTTCAACCCTTGATGTTAAAAAAAAGTCTCTCCACAAGCTTGGTTTCGTACCGTCACCCTGCTCCTCTATGGTTGCAGTGGTTCCTCTGGTTCTTGTCTTGCCCTGTTTTCCTGGTTGTCGCTGTCGGTTGGCTTCTCTGCACCTCACTCCACTCACTTCTCAGCATGTAACACACCCCCTTGGTGCCATGCCACAACCCCCTGCACATTCCCCGTAGCGCAGGGCTTGACAGGGAATCGGGCCAGAACGCAAGGCCATCAGCCGCCAGGACATGGTCGCAGCCCGCCTTTTCGGCCCATCACATCATCTTCAACGGCCAGCAATGGAGACTGGACAGGGCCAGGCACAGCACACCAGTTGCTGATCTCTCCCCTATCTCTGCCATTGCGTATCATTTTTTTTTCTGTTTTCTTTCTTTTCTGGGTTGGATACCACCTTTTGATACTTCTTTTTTTTTTTTTTTTTTTTGTTAGTATTCTGACATTGTCACCTCCTTTTTACTGCCTTTTGTTCTTGCCTCGTAGAAACTAAGTATCTCCAGCTCGCTCCTTCCTTTCTTTCTTAAAATCCATAACGAAGGCCGAAGGCAACAGCGATTGGTGGCACCTTCCGCCACCAGAATTTGATCACAAGGCGGCCCCTTTCCCTCGTGAAGCATCATTCTCACCTTTGCCTCTCATTTGCCTCTCCTTTTCCCCTCATCGATTTGCTGCCTTCTTATCCCACTCCCTCATTCTCACGCGGACACGCACCCTCGCTAGCTAAGCCCACCGGCGACGTACATCCAGTTGTGCACTTTTATGTCTCCTTTCACCAACATCTACAGTCCCACCACGTCCGCCACATCCACATCATCTGCCACCGCCGTGACCTCCAAAGGAGACGCGTCGACAAGGGGCAGAGCACCAGTCCCCGAGCCAAACGGCTTTTTGGTCCCTGTTATCACTCCGTCTCGCCCTTGGCGTCATCAGCCTCAACCCCCAATGCCCACATCGCCGCATCGCCCGAGTCCTACGAACGTATTAGCCGCCTTCCGCCGCCGCCAAAAATAGTCAAACGTCAAGACCCTGTGTTCAGTGTGGCAGGACCGTAAGACAAGAAACGAATCGAAACGAAACACACGCACGCGCTCGCTCTCTCTCTGGCCGACTCCCGGATACCAGCAGACGGTCTGCAGCCTAAACAAGAAACAAATCACAACGCGCCGTGCTGCACTTGACGGTGCCGCGCAACATCATACAAGGGCCACAATAAAACAACCCGACCTCGGACCAAGCACAGGAAATATCGAGCACATACGCCACACCAAGTTTGCAGCTCTCCCTCTTTATTTTTATTTTTATTTTTTATTTTTATTTTTTTTATTTCCCAGTGCTATATTTCCGCCAGACATTCCAGCAACAACTACCGCGGCCGTGTTACGCAAGCCCGCTTTTTTTCTTTGAAATCGACCGACAAGGAAAGGAAACAAAGCCAACCAAAACCGAAAGAGCCTGGACCAAACGCCAAAGACAACGAACCGAGAGTGTGGTACCTAGTCCCGGCCTTGCCACGCGGCGGGGACGACAGCGCCCTCCTCAGGGTCCATACAGTTAAGCAAAGAAGAGGCACATAAACAAAACAGAAAAGAAAAGAAAGAAGGCACGAAAGAAAAAGAACAAGACTGGAGGAGCCATTCAAGCTCCTGCCCAACCATCCTCAACACCGACAGCTCTAGAAGCCCAGACCGAGGAGGGGAAAACAGGGACACAGACAATCCCCAAATCCCACGGCCAACCAATCCAATCTCTTTCTTGGTCTCCTATTACCTTGCGTCTCACAGCCTCCTGCCTCTCCTGCCTCTCCTGCCTCTCCACGCCTCGACTTTGCTCACCCGCCTCGATCACTCATTCGCCTTCCACACTAAGCAAATTGGCGCGCAAACGTTGCGCACTTCTGCAGTTCCTCCCCGCTGCTCCGTTGGCACGGAGTACGTGCTTTCTGGATTGCAGCCATTGCACTGCATGCAAGAGTGTGTGCCTTGTTTACTCTCGTTGGGCTTTTGTACGCGCCACATTATTCACCACCACCCCCTCCTCGTTGTGCTTGCTCAAGTGCACATGTGTGTGCCTGTGTCTAATATAGCGTCAACCTTCGACGCTGATTGCAGTTGACAAGAGGGATATAGCCGGACGGCACACCAATCTCCAATCTGTGAGACAGCTGCAGTACTTCGATCTAGTTGTAGCATCTCGAATCTCATGGGCCGCTGTCTCGCCTTGTCATCCTGTCTCCTCTCTTCCCTCCAGCTCCACCGTGGCATACCCAACCTACCTTTCCCCGTCTCGTCTCGTTTTATCCCCTTCAACTCTTCAGCCGCTTGCCCCCCTCGTCGGTTCTTTGCCGTCCACTCTCGTACTAGTCCCCCTTGGTCTTACCCACAAACAACTCTACGTCTCCAACCTTTGTCTAACATCGTCTGTCTTACTTGGCCTGGTTGTTTACCTTGCACAGCTTTTATTGTCTGTTCGTCCTGTGCCTTCGTGCACTCCACCCCATGGCGAGCTGATGCCACCCAGGCCCACCTCCTGGAACTTCTCTGACTGTCGTCAAGAGTCCTCCGAACATCCTGATCCTCTATTTCCCCCCTTCCCTTGTCTTGGGTCTTCTACTTCTTCTTCCCCGTCCCTCTCACATTCACCTTCTTTCCCCGTCTTCTTTATAATATCGAGCCGTCCCCTTTACCCAACGGGGACGAGCACGGCCGGAAGATATGAATACGGTACACTCCACCAGCGCCACCCTTGCCTCCCTCAACTCAGCAGATGTCTACGATTCCGATGGCATCGACCCGCGGGAGAGCCCGCCCCTACAGCAAAAGACGCTGAAGCTGCGCATAACTCCTAGCCCCCCGCCCAAAGTGACTGAAGTTAGTCGTTCCTCCCTGCACTCCTCTCCCTCTACCTCCCGTCGCCGTTCCTCTTCTAATCGTCGTCGCAAGGCCAAACCGTCACTCGGACAGACTGTGCTTCTGCAGTACATGGCAGGCGGGCGGAACCCTGATATTGCTCATTTTGCCAGCCAATGTGTCCCCTCTGACGAGTCCGAGGAGGACGAAGACGACGACGAGGACGACGAGGACGAGGATATTGGCCGGACCCGCGAGTCGACCTCGGAATTCCTAAACAACGACTCAGACAGCGATAAAGACGACGACGAGGATAGCACGGACGAGGACGGTGTCCGGAGGAGCCACAAGGAGATATCCGACCAGAACCACAAACGTCTGTTTATTGGAGAGACAAGGCAACGATACTCAACAGACGCCAGGCCGTCAAGGCCAGAACAGCAGCAGCAGCCATCAGTACACCGTGAAGGGCGTGAAAGGTCTCCAAGAGGCAAACAACGGCAGCAATCACCTAACAGCCCACTGACATTAGACAACGGCGATGACGCCATGTCTCTGGACGAACCTAGCCCTCCGCCACAGAGACCGCCGCAGCAATCACATCAGCACGGCCGGCAGCAGCAAGAAAAGCCGGAACGGAGTCCTGAACATGACAGAAAACAACAACATGCGGGATCCGGAGCCGCCGGTACGGTCCCTTTAGCGGGCGCAAACCTAGCTGCGATAGCAATGGCTGCGGCGGGAGCCATCGCGAATCCAGGCCAGAGTGGACAGCCATCCGATGTCACAATACCGCGGACAACCTCCATCGGTATCAGACCTGATACGAGCCTGGCTCCCCCGCCACCTCCGCGCTCACCAGGAGCCAAGAGAGACCACAGCGGCGCTCTCAAGCCCATATCTGTCGCACCCGGTGGCCTTCGCTTGGAAAGCATCGTATTGTCCCCGCAACAACAGCATGGCGGCCGCCCGGCTGGGCCTATGGACGCCGCAGGCAGCAGGAGCGGCGGTGGCCTCAGTCCAGAACAAATGCGCCGCCAGTACTCTTCCTCGTCGCAAAACGCCGTTCCCGCATATTCGCCTCGCCCCGGCAGCACCGCGTCCCACCAGGACCAGCAATCCGACCAGTCCCAATTACTAACCCCGGCATCCGCCGTAACGCCTGGAGCAATGTCCGCTTCCTCGACGACGTTTCCACCTCTTCTTTTGAGAGACGACCGCTCTGTGGTTGGCAGCACTGGGGCCTCGTCACTCGCCACGCCCTCATCTACACACTCACCCAACGACTACCACTCCCCTTTCTCTCCAAATGGTACCGGTGTCGCTGCATCGCCGGCGCAGATCACGGCATTCTCGCCGCTGAACCAAGCTGACTTCCACGTCTACCGACAATCCACTGGTAGTTCCCTGCCGTCGCTACCGCCGATGCAACCGTACGGCTCGCCACGAAACGATATCAATAGCGCCGCGTCTCCTATGTCTGCAAATACCCCGGCGGGCCATACTCCCAGCAACCACAGCAGCAGTGGCAGTGCTGGACAGTCACAACAAACCCTGCTCCCGCCGATCCGTGAGCACCTCGCGGGCCCCCTTACGGAGTCCAGCCCGACAGGCTCAGAAACCCGACGACCGCCTCACTTCATTCCGCCTCCGACTGGGTACACACGGCTCCCTTCCATTTCACATTCACACCACTCGTCGCCCCCATCTCCAGACGAAATTTATCGTCGGAACAGTGACCATGCGTCGCCAAACAGCAGTTCCGGGAATTTTGGAGGCCAGCCTGGCAGTACTCAGTCCTACTACGCTCCGCAGAGTGCACACTTGAGCAATCATAACGGCGGCCACCGTGGTACGGCCGAGTACGGCGCAGACACACCCACTTCGGAACCACATTACAGCACACCTGGGTCGACTGGCCGGCCAGCCGCCTCCCCTGGACACCTATTGAACCCGATGGTGACGTCTCCGCTACCGGGCCCGGTAGCATGATCCTCCCTCCGGTCAGACACGACAGTACGCCGCGCCAGCAACCATCGATCGAGTCTCTCACCAGTCACATGCTGCCGCACTCGCCCAATGGCCAGCATATGCCGCCGCCACCACTCGCTCACCCTCAGCAACAGCCGCAACAACGACCATCACAGCCGTTGCATACGGCGGCCCAGGGCCCGTACAAGTGTGAAGTGCCGGGCTGCACCGCCGCGCCTTTCCCGACACAATACCTCTTGAACTCTCACGCCAATGTGCACTCCTCTGCACGGCCGCACTACTGTCCTGTCTCTGGCTGCCCACGAAGCGAAACCGGTAAGGGCTTCAAACGCAAAAATGAGATGATCCGTCATGGTCTTGTGCACCAGTCGCCGGGCTATGTGTGCCCGTTTTGTCCGGACCGGGAGCACAAGTACCCGCGTCCAGACAACTTGCAAAGGTACGACATGCAATGGATCCCTCCTCTTGTATTTCAACCTTTGTTCTAACCCGGTCATTTATAGGCACGTCCGTGTTCACCACAAAGAAAAGAGCAAAGACGATCCCCTTCTACGCGATGTCCTGGCTCAGCGCGCGGAGGGTCCCAGTCGAGGCCGCCGCCGCCGCCTGTAAATGCCGGTTCGAACAATGCAACAAGTCAGTGGTCATGAAATCCACTTACATTCCATCTACGGTTTTGAGTACGTTGTCCCGTTGCATATCAAATATTGGGTTTGATATGGGCGGACAAAGAAAAGGAGCTCGTGCTATATACGAGACTATTGTGTTTTCTAGCGTCTATTGGTGGTTTTTGTGGCCTTTATACGTTTTTTTATCGGATTTTCACTTTTTGATGCCCAAAACCAAGCCATTTTGTTTATTTTTGCTAGGTTTTATTTCATGACATACCCCTTTTCTGTTTTTCTCTTCATGTTTATACTTACAAATCACATTTACATTACTTGCCACATACGTTTTGCTTTTCATCACTCTGCAGCGAATCAAACCAGGTGTCCATTAGGTAGCGGAAGACGGTGCGGCACGATAGCGTTGCCCGTGGGACCGTCTGTATTTACGGTATCCTGCCTGCACACTTGAGGACGGAGCATGATGGCGCTTGACGTTTCAATGTAGGCGAGGTCATCATCGTCAAAACGGGCCAGCGTTTCCGTTTTCAAGGCGCCCAGCACGTCGGTGGCCGACGCAAACTCAGCATGCCAACACCTGCGAATCGCGTCGGCAAACATGAGCGGGCTGTCTACACCACCATTGCCAGTATCAATGTCACCAAGCGAGGGGAATTCCAAACGAAAATAGCGGGCCTCCACTTCCTCGTCCGTCAACGTGTCGTACGGACGCGCCCCTGTCACGATATGATATAGGGTTGATCCCAGCGCGAACAGGTCTGTCGTCTCGTTGGCGACCGTGGAACGCCTGGCTGTTGAATCGCCTGGTTCATGGGCCATACAGTACCTCGCGCTTTCAAGACCAAAGTTCATCTTCCCCCGGAAGCCGCTGCCAGATAGGTCGATGATGCGCAGGCCGAACTGCGTGTCGATAAGCATGTTGCCTGGCTGTATATCTGCGTGGATCACCTCGTGTTGGTGTAGCAGTGCGATGCCGTCGGTGGCCTCGAGGGCCCAGCGGGCGCGCAGCCGGGCGGGGATCGTGGGCACGCCGTCCACGACGTCGGCCGAGTGTTTGGCAAGGTACTCGCGCAGGGTGCCGTTGGCCATGTATTCAAGCTCGATGCCTGCGTCGTTGTCGTGGTCAAACCAGTGAAGCATACGCAGAGTTCGGCGGCTATCCCTGGGCAGATGCTCGTAGATTTCGATTTCGCGGCGCATCTCATCGACCAAATATACACTGTGACCCTTTAGAGCCGGGTTTACGACTTTTCGGACTCGTTTTTGGCCGTGCACCAGCTCGACACGGCCTGTGCTGCCAGCGCCGACAAATGAGCCCTATGCGTTGTTGAGTTAGCAAAGCAGACGATGCAAAGGAGGATGAAACGTGGGCTTCTTTTTCGTCGTACACAGGACTCAACGGTGCCTGGGTCCGTCGTATCATCATTTTTGGTGTCTGTTTGTTCTTTCGCCATTGTCAACAAGTTTAACGGGCCTGGAAACGGTAGCATAGGATACTGTTCACCTTCTGATGGAATAATAAAGCGTACTACAACGTCCCGTGTGCCATACATCAACGGAGGATGAGCGCAGATGACTAATAACGCCAGCCAGAGCGGCCCGTGCCCGAAACGCCAATAACTCCTACATGTTTTCTCTTCATGTCTATCATTACAAATATTCGCATTTGCATTATTGTCTACCTTTGTCTCATTGTTCTCCTCACACCAACAAAGCGTTGGCGAGGACCAGCGAATACCCGCTGCTGTACGTGTATCGGCTGTACCTCGCTCCTCTGCTCCCAGAGAGAATGGACGCACTTCTTATTTTCATCTTACTTTTCCTCACGTATTAGATATTGTTTACTGTCTTTGATGCGCCTCCTTGACGTCTAGCTAACGTGACGTTTGTCGCCAGCTGGCAGGTGGGTCCGCAAGCTGTAAGTGCTGGCCAATCACACTGCACAGTTGCCACTGCGCTCTTCGAATGCTTCTCCGTTCCCGCCAATGGGCCCCGCCTACCAAACGAGGAAAAAACTGGTGCGCTTAGGTGCGCTACGGTTGGCAGCTGCTCTGATCAAGCACGGGGGTCTTTTTGCCCAAGCGAAAAAAGTTGCTCCAAAACGAGAATGTGACCGCCAAAAAGATCTCCTGATGCTCGACCACGAAACAATAGCTTGACCGCACCCCCCTTCCATTCCGTTCCGCACAAACAGCGCAGCGTTCAATTGCAATTGCTCGATCGACTACGGGCTCGGGCAGTTGGCGAGAGTGGGAGCAAGAAGCGAAACATCGAGAACCGAGCAGACACACCACACACAGCCGACATGGCCATCTCGACACCACCACGCAGCGTCTCGGACGCCACGCGCTTCACCTCGACGACTCCCCACGCCTGGAGCGCTGCTGCCGCCGCCTCGGTCCGCCGCGCCACGTCCTCACAAGCCGCCTTCGCTTCCTCGTCCTCGTCCCCCTCGTCCTCCTCTTCCAACACCTCCCGCTTCCAGAGCCCCGCCAGCAGCCGGCCGCCCGCGGCAGCACAATCCAAAGCTGCACGGCGAGGCGCCGCACCCGCGCCGGGTGGCCCGCGGGGCCCGCGGGGCCCGTCCCCTGCCGGTGGTGCCGCGGCGCCTGTTGCTGGCGAGACCCCCGAGCAGAAAGTCGCCCGTCTCCGCGCCGCCCACCAGGCCGCCAAGAATGCAAAAGTCTCGCAGCTCGACCGCGTCATTGGCGGCACGCGCCGTGTCTTTGACAACGCGCACCGCTTTACCATTGTCGGCCTGATTGGCTTTACCGGTAGGTCAGACCGGTCTTTGTTTTGTTTTTTTTTTCTTTCTTTCTTTATTTTTTGTTCTTTATTTTTTGTTCTCCACGTCAAGGTCTAACGAACCTCGTTCCCAGCCATCGCCGGCTTGTTGACGGCGTACACGACCGTCGACATGCTGCGGTTCAACAGCCGCCGCAAGAAGGAGTTCCAGGCCGCCCAGCAGCAGATGGACGCCGACAGCCTGGCGGCCGCCCGCCTCGCGTTTATGCGCGGCGACGCCACGCCAGCACAGGTTGCCATGGTCGAGGTAGCACACGAGCACGAAAAGGCTGTGCGGAGCAGCGCGGACGGCGGTGCTGCCGCTGCTGCCGATGCCAGCCGTGGCGAAGCGCCCATTTTCAAGGTGCCGAGCCTGCTCGGTGCGCCTGCGCCGGTGGCCGCACCGGTGGCCGCTCCAGAACAGGAGGCGGCGGCCACGACGTCGACAGATGCGTCGTCCTGGGGCGGTGGCATCCGCTCGTGGTTCTCGTCGACGCCGCGTGCCAAGGAGGAGGACGACGCGAGCAAGGCCGCCGGCGTGCCGCCGAAAGAGAGGGACACGGGCCGGGCACTGGAGGAGAAGCAAAAGGCCGCCGCCGCCGCGTACCAGGCGATTACCGACCGGGCACGGCAGGCGCTGGACAGTGAGCGCGCCAACCAGCGAGACGGTGGCCCGCTGGACCGACTGGGACTTGACGACAAGAGCCACGGCACGGCTGTCCCGGATACCCCGGCTGCCACCCCCGCTGCCAAGAAGAGCTGGTGGCAGGTGTGGTAGAGTGGTGCGGGCGAGGGGACCTGGGGGCATGGGTGAAAAAATCGATGGGCAGGTTGCTAATGGTGACTTGTCCATTGGCTGTATATTATCAAATCCTAAAAGAGAACTGGTGGCTTCTTGTTGCATTCTATTTTCACATTACATCTCTCTCTCACATTCATGCCGTCTGTCTTCTTTGCATTTCATGGTGTCTCTGGGACAGCAGAGACTTGTGCTTGATATAGTCCAAAATTCACCAGTCAAATCATGAAGCGGCAGCAACGCTCAAGTTTAGCGTTGCCAATGTTCGTTTCAAAATCCAACGAAGAAGGTCTTTCCGCTGGTCTGGATTTGCATTGTAATTCTGCTGTCTGGTCGTGTTCTCATTATAGTATACTAATAAATACATGTAAGGAACGGAAGGGGGGTATTAGTCGGTATTAAAAAAGGAGTGAATGCCAATAAACATAGTGCACAATGGTAGAGGCGTCGCAGTGTATCCCCCGTTGTTGTTCTGAGCAGGGGCAGTCTGCTGTTGATGTAAGTCGAGAATGAATGTGTGACAAGTCCGTGGAGCCCGGGCTGCCTAAAAAAAGAAAAGAAAAAAAAATCAATCCTCGAAAGTCGCCATGCTGTGGTGAAAAGCAATAAAAGCAAAATATAGACACGCTGTAACGGAAACCGAAAGAACGCCGTAGCAAATGGAACAAGGAACTGGTAAGAAGAAATCGAGGCCATGAGTGAAATTGGTCGGCAATTACTGCTTGTCGCAAAACCCGCTTAGAGAAGTTAGGGAAAGAGGCCAGTGACGGCGTGGAACGAACGGAAAGTAAGCTCAGCGAAGAGTCGTATCAATCGTAGTCGCCGTGAGATCTACTGGTCACAACTCGGCGCAATGGCGGTTGGAATGACAACCCTCGATAGCAGGCCTGTCGATGCAGGCACAGTCTGGCAAGGGCGGCAGCCTGTGAGAGAAATGGCTTTGTCGTCACTGCCCAAGATGTAGATCTTGCCAGTCTGGAGAGGCCGGTCGCCAGCGCTAATGTTTCGAACATTCTCTTCGTCTTCTCGGTCGGCAGCAGGTAAAGGTTCCTGCAACGTATCGGTCCCGGCCGGTTTAAATTCATCGAGCAACTTTCGAATGCGGAACCGTTTCGCCTGGATGCGAGCACGGCGTTGCGCAGCATTAGAGAGCACGGCCTCGGTCCGGTCGCTTCGATTCGCTTCCCTCCTTGACCGACTGGTTGTGTCGGCACTGCCCTCAGGAGGTCCGACAAGCACGGTTCTGCCTCTCTAAGAAACGATAATATGGTTGAAATGGCCGGGAACTCTATTGCGGCACTTCTCACAGTCAGCCCGGTAGCCTATGCTGAACGACTTCTTCATTCCAGGCTGCTGGGTCCAGGCAACAATCGTGTGGCGGCTGCGCGTGTGGCCCTTCCGGGGAGACGGTGTAGCAGCGGGATCGCTGTCGAGGGTGCTGCCGCTTCCGCGGATCGGGGACGACGCCGCCATCGGCACATGCGAATGCATGGCGGACGATCGGGTCGGTGTTCCAAGGAGCTCGTCATCGTGCTCACCGCAACCTTCGATGTTCTCGTGGCCGGGCGATTGTCCGAGGCCTCCTTGCAGGGCCATGCTGTCGAGAACCATATCGGGGCTGCCAGCTGCTTCCTCGCCACCGCTCTCGCTGATCGGCGAAGGCAGCGACCGGTTCTGGACCATGGACCACTCGCCCAGGACAGCAGGATGCTCCAGAGAGCGAGGCACGGAGCGGTCCTCAGCCGCGACGGGGTCGGTCGGAGTGGGGGCGACCATGCTGGTGTGCATAACGTTGCCGGCCGCACCGCCCCAGTTGTTGCCGCGAACTTGGACGGCGAAGCTGGGCTGGATCGGCGTCGGCATACGGCTGGCAATGACCGAGTCCTGGTCGGGTTGCGACGGACCGGGCACGAGGTGCTGATGCTGCTGCTGCTGCTGCTGCTGCTGCTGCTGCTGCTGCGCGTGGTTGATGTGTGCAGGGGGGCTCAGCATGTCGTCGGTGGCCATATCCATGTCCATGTCGCTGCTCTCGACGACAGCAGGGACACCGCTCTGTTGGGCATAGAGGGACTGCTGCTGCTGAACCGCTGCATGTTGCGCGGCATGTTGCGGTGCGCTCTCCGAGAAGGAGCTCGGTGGGGTTATGGCGGGATCAGGGCGCTGTTGGCCGGCATCGGGCCCTACGGCAAGATCCCATTTTCGCGGTGAGGTCGGCGACGTCCTAAACGGCAGTGTTTGCAGCCGTTTCTAGAAATGACGGTTTAGTAATTGCACATGTTCGCAGGTTGCGGGGGATTCTGGCAAGTGTATGTCCCGTGCGTCCAGGTCCAGTTGTAAACAATGCCAACAATGCAAGTGCAGCTGCATCGGCAATTCATGCCGTCGCTATTTCGACAATTTGCAGAATGAGAAGCATTTCACTGCATTCGATAGCACAAATGTGGGAGCGAGGGAATGCAGGTTGGGATGGCTTACATTTCTGTGCTCGGTAAAGCCCACAGTCGACCCATTCATGCCATCGGTAGCCACCTCGTCCTCATGGAACCGTTTTAATGGACCACGAGGATAGTCAAAGTCCGAAGACTCTGGTTGTGAGGAGAACATGGTGGCAGCAGCTCTTTGTGTGCTTAAAAAGAGAGCTTCCCGATGGTCGTGAGGTGGAAACGACAAAAGACGTGAGGTTCGTCGTATTGGTTGAGTCGATAAAATGAGAGCGAAAGCGGAACGAAGAGAAAGAGAGAGCGGCGACAGACGAGTCGAGAGAAGGGGAAGGGAGGGGATGCCGAAAAGGTGGGCACTGGTGAAGCAGGGCGAATCCGACAGCAAAGAAAGGCGAGTGAGATCGAACGAAGCGTGGGCTTTTCGGCCTCTGGCGTCCTTCCTCGGCGGGGGTTGGTGACGAAGAGGGACGAGGTGTGCTGAAAACGTAGCTGGGCAGATCGGCGTGCGGAGTATTAAATGTTTTGTAGTGGGAGTTTAGCTGGGCGGCAGTGGGTGTGGCGTGGTTAGTGGCACTAGCATTGCTAAGAATGACTGTCAAATCGGTGATCAATACTGGTATTATTGAATGGGGATGATACGAGGCGTGCAATGGCGACAGTCAACAAAGGGAAGAAAGAAGAGAGGAGAAAGCGATGTCGGAATTTGGTGAGAATGGAAATGGTGACAAGATGCACAAATGACGAAAATGAGGAGGGAAGGAGCAAAGGAGACTGGTTGTTGTCCTTTTTGTTTCGGAGAAGGTGGTTTGCAGCCGAGGCAGGAGCGTTGCCGTTGACTCGAACTGGCGACACGCAAGACTACTTGGTGGTCAGTAAAATCGGCAGGGAAGGAAGGAGACTCCAGAGTGCTGGAAGAAAAGCGCCTGGCGAGGTGGGCTGCTGAACCGGACTAGAAGGCAAGTGCGACCCAGCGAAAACCACAGTGGTGGAGCAAGTCCTCCTACAGGCCGGTGATAACAATAGGTGGAAGCAACGGTGTTCCGACAACGCCGCAGAAAAGAGGAAGGACCAACCGGATGGTAAAGGACGTGCTGAACTAGACGTATCGTACTTTATGATTCAATGTTTATTTTGTCCGGAATTGAACTGGGCGCATTGAAGGCGGGTGCTGCAGGCGAAGCTTGTTGGACGAGGTGGGAGGTCCGCGGTAAATGAGGAAAACAAAGAAAATAAACGGCGGGCACTATAGAGCGACCAAGAAACGAAATAGACGACTCGTCGAGATGATGAAGACTCGAAGGGAAGCAAAGGAGAACCTAGAAAGCAGGCAAAAAATGGAAAGAAACCGGAATCAAGGTGAGACAAGAGGATAAAAGAAACCTGGAATCAGTACGGAGTGGTGCTGCTGGCAGCAGAACCATGCGAGGCAGTTTTGAGGCGTGGCGATGTCGACAAAAAGCAGAAAGAAAAGGAAAGGTTGAAGTTGGTAAGAAAGAGTGAAAGTAAAGGAGACAAATAAACACCAGGGTTGTTATCGTAGACATATGACTACGGAGTGCGTATGGCCTTTCTCGGCGACAATCGCGAGACATTCATGGACTGGACTGGACATCAAGGGACATCCACAGTACGCAAACAACATTGGAGTCAAGATGGTCGGGCATTCGGCATAGAGAGTGCAAGGGAGGCCAGGCCAACCCTGTCCCCGCCATACCAAGACATGCGACATAAACACTGCAGAATGGAGGATACCAGGGCCCTGGCTGCTGGCTACTGCCGCTTCCGTTGCACAAAGGGTCCTTGGGTGATCATCGTAGGCTGGGCCTGTTTTTGAAGGGACGATGTGTGCATGAAGGACGGTGGGCTGCCCAAAGTGTATCTTATGTCGTAGTGGGGGCGCCTTTTGGTGGTTCAGCAAAGTGCTTTCAAACACCAAAGCTGGCAGCAAAAACGAACTCGTATTCTCCCGAGATGGTGTAGAGTTCGTACGAACTATTTTTCGTTGATTTCCCCTTGCCTCCGTTACTCGCGTCTTTCCTGGTATAGTGTTATAATGGGTGATCTCCTATTCACCGAAAAACTATGCGATTGCACCATAACAGAAAAAGAGGAGATAGGAAAGAGGATGAGGATGTCGGTGCTCACAATGATCGTCACGTTCGGTGGCGAGTTGCCAGAGCTGAACCACAGGCAAGCATGCGCCGGTCACATCCACTGCGAGACATATATTTTGTCCTCTGTCGCTCGCCGTCGTCCTTTCTTGGACGTGGTGGGACCTGTCGACTGAATGCCGATCCATAGAGACGATGCGCGTCCCTGGATTGGCCGCTTTCCTTTGTGCTGTCCATCTGTTTTGGCTGGGTTCTTGGAAAGCACACCGTGACATTGGCCACTGTCGCGGGCCTGCCAGTTTCAGGACTGCTTCAAGATGAACTGGGGGTAGCGCAGACCTTTGCGGACATCGTCGCAACGGCGCGTCCATGGCAAGCGAGACGATGCTTCCCTGTTATTTTCTGTAGCAGACGAGACGGTGAGAATACGCGAAATGGAACTTGTAAACGATATAGGAGCGTCGTTTTGGCTTGGCATTACTTATTTGCGACAGCATTTGGTTCCATATAAGTGGACTACGAGTTGGAGATGATGTTCAGAAGGCACAACGGAAGGAGAGGGTCTTGGGGATGGAGAAATCCGTCAGCCTGGACAGCAAAGTTTACTGGTGACGACGTGGTACTTTGGTCGTTTTGGTTTGATGTGCATCGTCTCCTTTGGAGGGATTTATCTCCGTGATGATGCTGACCCGACAGATTTGCCTAGCTATCAGGTTCACGCAGCAGATGCATGGAAGCCATCGCAGAAACAACGGGCGTCGTATTTTGTTGGCGTTTTTAGACAGTACACAATACAAGCATCTCATACTTCAATTAATATTTGTGGGCAATATTTTCAAGATAATTTCACATGAAATATCTTGTTATGTGACTGTTCTCAAAGACAGCAACATTTTATTCACGAAGAGTTTTAAGTCGCTGCGATCGTACTTTGAAAATACTGGGAAATGATAAAATACAATACAACGTAGCACCACAACCCCATGTGGCTTTTTCGTATTTTGACATTTCAGATATTGTCCGGGCCATGCTTGCTTTCCTTGCTAAATATCGTTAAGGCCGTGGATTTTGCCTGAACCACACGCGACTCTCCGATTCTCGGTCTGTGAGGCTCTCCCTCTCACCATGTTTTGTGTGCTTCGATGCACTGTCGGCGGTATTCCAACTTTTACTTTTGTGTTTTCTGGGTTAATTCTGATTTTGAAGATGATAAAAAGTGGAAAAAACTGAACATGTCGAACTAAGAAAATCAAATAAAATAAAATCTGAGCAACTCTGCACTCGCTGTGTTCTCACAGTCGTCCTTTGACCCTATTTCCCACGCTGTGCTTCCTGCTACGGCTTACATCATTAGGAGAATGTCCTCGTACGGTCCTATATCTATATTTGTTTTGACTCGGCAGCCGGCCCGAACTGTCAGATATTAGTTTTTTATCGAAAGCCATAAATGAGAGAATGGCGCACGGCATCTTTCCGCCCACGGCTGGCAGGATGCAGTGTTCTGTAGTAACCAATGGACCACAGCAGGAGAGACGCACGAGGCTGTGTGCCCGGGTCGGATTGGACTTGCTCGTCGCACGCCTTTCACGTATTTCTTTTCGTTCTTTTTTCTTTGGTCATTGTGTAGTGCTCCGGAGTACGGCGTCTACCAATGCTGTCATCAGTGGGTCACAGGCTTGGATCTTGCTGCGTTTATCTCCCACTGCCATTCGCTCGTCCTTAGACAAATGCTAGCCAAAGGCGGTGTGTCGTCAGTCGTCACCCCGCGCTGCAGAATCGCGGAAGAGACGAGGGAACTAAAAAAAAAAAAAAAAAAAAAAAAAGAAACGAGGGGCGGTTTTTTTCTTGCGAAAGCGCCCGATCAATGAGGGGAAAAAAAAATGAGCGTCACAATCATAACAAAGGACCTTTTGTCTCTTCCCATTGCCTGTCACAGCATTCCTATTATCACGTAGATTTGTGCGCAAGCTGATGGAGCACGGCATACGAACAATTTGCAAGTTTTTATTTTATGTTTTCTTGCTAGACCAGGTCGCAATTGCCAAAACTCTAAGCCAAGCAAACGTCCCAATGCAACAGCGACCAATGTCGAGCTTGTCCGTCAATCGCTCCTTCTCTTGCTTCTGACTGTAGGCTGTCTCTCGAATACGAGCGATAACAGCTTCGGTCGTTCTTTCTTCAGTGTATTCCTCAGCATCGTTTGCCCTGTTTGCCTCTGTGGCCGTTTTCTCCAAGCGCCGTCATTCCCCTGTGCCCTAGTTAGGACATGCGCCTCTTTCTGCCCCAATTCCCCGTGCCTTCTTCCCTCGCCGATATTCTTTGGTGGTTCCTTCTTACCTTGTTGCTGCTTTTGCTGGTGCTTGCCTCGCCTGACGTCTGACTCACACCACGCTGTCGGTGCCCTTGTCCCGTTTTCCTCTTTCGTTGGTCCTTTTCTTTTCTTTTTTTGTAATCACTCTACAAGCGCCGATTCATATTCTACACTGCACCACCCTACCACTGTACTCCAAGCTGGCCTCGCTTCATTTAATACCATTGCCTCGTCCGCCGTTGTTGCGCCGGTTATTGTCGTCCTCATATTCCCCGTCTACGTTTCAACTCAATTGGTGTCCAGGAAAAGCTCCAGTTGCTTCTACGTCTCGCAACTTCTCCCATTCCGTCTACAGCTGCTTCGGATACATCCCCCATTCGGTTGCCATTGCCTTCAAAATGCCTGGAGTTGACGCTTCCCCTCTCGTCGTCGACAACTTGCGAGGTCAGTGAGAGAAGTGCAATGCATTGTTTTTGTTTTTGTTTTTTTTTTTTTTTTTTTTTTTTTTTTTTTTTTTTTTTTGTAATTTTTTTTTCCAGAGTTCACTAACACGCCCAGTCCTCGGCCAGGACCCCCTCATTCCCCCAGACCTGCTGATCTCCGAGATCCCCATCACCGAGGCCGCCGTCGAGACCGTCGTCAAAGGCCGCAGGGATGCCGTCAACATCATCATGGGCCGCAGCGACCGCCTGCTGGTGATTGTCGGCCCCTGCTCCATCCACGACCCGGCCACGGCCATTGAGTACCGCGACCGCCTGCTCGCACTCGCCAAGACGCTGCAGGACGACCTGCACATTGTCATGCGCGCGTACCTCGAGAAGCCGCGCACGACGGTCGGCTGGAAGGGCCTGATCAACGACCCGGACATTGACTCGACCTTTAAGATCAACAAGGGCCTGCGCGTCTCGCGCCAGCTCTTCTGCGACCTGACCAGCGGCGGCATGCCCATTGCCTCGGAGATGCTCGACACCATCTCGCCCCAGTTCCTGGCCGATTTCATCTCCGTCGGCGCCATCGGCGCCCGCACGACGGAGAGCCAGCTGCACCGCGAGCTGGCCTCGGGCCTGTCGTTCCCCGTGGGCTTCAAGAACGGCACCGACGGCAACCTGGGCGTCGCGATTGACGCGATTGGCGCGGCGGCGGCGCGCCACCACTTTATGGGCGTGACGAAGCAAGGGCTGGCTGCGATTACGCGCACGTCGGGCAACGAGCACGGCTTTGTGATTCTGCGGGGCGGCACAAAGGGCCCCAACTACAGCAAGGAGCACATCCAGGACGCCAAGGCGGTGCTGGAGAAGAAGGGCCAGAAGCTGGCCATTATGGTGGACTGCTCGCACGGCAACTCCAACAAGGACCACCGCAACCAGCCCAAGGTGGCCGCGACGGTGGCCGCGCAGCTGCGCGAGGGCGAGAAGGCGATTGTCGGCGTCATGATCGAGTCCAACATTGGCGAGGGCAACCAGAAGGTGCCGGCCGAGGGTGCGGCCGCCCTGAAGAAGGGTGTCAGCATCACGGACGCCTGCATCGACTGGGAGTCGACCGTCACTGTCCTGCAGGACCTGGCCGCGGCCGTCCGCGCGCGGCGAGAGATCCACACGGGCGCCGCCGATGCCGCGACGCCCAAGACGACGCTTCTGGAGGAGGAGTAAGATGCGAGCACGCGAATATACGTTGGGGTGTGAAAGGAAGTACGATACAATACCAAAAAGGAGGCTAGCATACCAAAAAACACACATGGGTTGGGACTCCATAATCTGGGAAGGAGAAAATAGAATGAGATAAAACCACAACCACCATGGACCTGAGAGTCTGTATTTTGAGTCGTTTACGGGAACATACAAAAAAAAAAAAAAAATGATTCGCCAACACACACAGCATAATGTGATCGTAACCAGGTTTTTTTATTAATAGAATCGCTGCAAACTCGAAATGACAACGTCTCGAAAGTCTGTAACGGCCCCACCGCCTTCCGGTTAGTCCGCACTGCTACCGCCCAATGGCGCATACTGTCCACGCGGACCGGCTGCCGAGGGCGACGAAAGCGGACTGCCCGACCCGCCGCGGCGGCCGCCGATGCCAATGGTCGCCAGCAGCCTCTGGACGATGTTGCCACGGCCGTTGCCGCCGCCGTTGTGCCCAGCGCCGCCCAGCAACGGCGCTCGTGCATCCGCGCCCTCCGTCAAGTGCAGCGCGTGCTGCACGGCCTTCCAGCCGAGCAGACCCGCCGTGCCGAGCAAAAAACACCAGACAATAATCTGGTCCTTGCGGCTGTCGCGCTGGAAGCACATGGTGACGACGTCCTTTTCCTCGGCGCCCTTGCAGATGGGCAGGTTGTAGTTGAGGCAGAAGGCGCGGTTGCACTGGGTGCACGACGACGAGCTGGCGCGGGCGTCAACGTTGTGGAGGCTGAGGCCGTGTCGGGACGCAACGGCAACGGCATCGACATCGCCATCGACATGGACGCCTCGCGACGACGGGGGCGGGTTGCCGTTGACGGGCTGGGCGTGCTGTGGGCCGAGGGGGATGATGGTGCTGTTGGTGAAGCAGGTGCATTTGCAGAACGTGGGCGCAGCTGTCCATGTTAGCGGCCACGTCGTTTCAACGTGTCAACGTATCAACGTGTCAACGTGTGCATTGTGCAGTGCGTTTTCTGAGGAGACGTACAAGCGGCAGAAACCAAAGCGAAGAAGAGGCTGAGCGCCGCGAGGATGCGCTGTATTCGCGCCATGGTCGTGGCTGAATGTGTCAAAGGGTGTCGCAGAGGAAACGACGCTCGGGTTGTCAATGTTCTCTGTGGTCAGGACTCGTCGTTGTCTTGTTCGACACTGTCGTCGTGCTTCTGACGGGAAACGAGGCTGGTCGCCGAAACTGGCAGCTCTCTTACTGCTGTAACGAAACGATAGGCATTTCTATAGCGAGCATATGCATTTAGACGCTAGAGAGCCGATAGCACGTATCTGCTACGAAGCAGTGAGCAATCACGCTGTATTACACCGTATTACGCCGTATTGGCTGGCCGCCAAGCGAGACGGGGCCAGTCACAATGCATCATTGTGCACACCACCCTCCAATGTTAGGCTGCGAGAGGGGGCCCAGACGATAACGATATTTGTCCGAGATTTTTCTTGAACATTCAGGGCTCACCGATTGATTTTCTTTTGCTTCTGACCTCACCTTTTTGTACGCTTTTGGCCTTTGTTTTTGGTCACCTTGTTGCTGTTATTTAGTGCGCAGACACTGTAGCGCGCTGAAAGAGCCCCACTGAAGCTCTGCCGCACCGCATGCTATCGCTGTAAGCGGAATCGCACCGGAACCGAAACCGAACCTCGCCGCAACCAAACGCCATGCCTCTCACGGTGCCGTCCAAGGCGACGCTCGTCGCGCTGTCGCTGGTGCCCGTGGTGGCCCCGACCGTCTACCTGCTGCTGGTCCAGGCGATCACGTCGTACTACGTCGGCGCCTCGGCGACGCAGCGGCGCGTGCTGACGGCCAAGGACAAGGACGCCGCGGCGGCCGCGGCGGCCACCGCCGCGTCTGGCGCCGCCACGACCTTTTCGGACGCGACCACCGTGGCCGACACTGTGCCGCCGCACTCGCTGCCGGCCGAGGTGTACGGCGAGGACGCGCCGTACGTGGTCTACTGCGAGCGCGTCGTCTCCAAGCCGGTGCCCGTCCAGCGGCTGACCACGGGCCGCGCGGACGGGCGGCTGCTGACGACGTACCTGCGCGGCACGTTTGGCGCGTTCAGCTGGACGCCCATGGGCCTCGTCATGCACCGCATCGTCCAGGACCCGGCCCTTCGCAAGACGTTTGGCGCCGACCACCTGGAGGCGCTGGCGTTCCAGAAGGACGACGTGGCCTGCGGGCCCCATCTGGTGACGTACCGCAGCCGCGACCGCGCCGAGCTCATGACGCAGCCGCTGGCCGACAAGCCGGACCTGGTGGTGCACGCGGTGATTGTGGCGGCGGTCGAGACGACGGCGTCGGGCGACGAGGTGGTCTTTGTCAACGAGACGTGGTTCTGGCGGCATGCCAAGGACGAACCGCCGTCGTTGCTGGAGAGCGCGGCGGGGCGGTGGGTGCACAACCTGGTCGGCAGCTGGATGATTTTCAAGGGCACGACCAAGGTGACGGCACCGGTGAAGGCGAAGAAGGAGTAGGCGCGAGGGTGGGGGATGCCATGGGAGGCTGAACGAGGCGTGTACGGTGATGGGTGATGGGAGGTTATCTGTTTGACTTTGTTTTGTTGGGCGTGTCTTGACGTCTCGACGATTTAACTGTCTATTTATTTCTTCTCATTTCTGCTAGATATCTACCGTTGAAATGTTTCCATGCCAGTTATGCCGGGGGAAGAGCCGACGATAAAGGACATCGCCACTCTGCTCTTAATTTACCATTCTTTATTAAGATGTGCTGGTGTCTACGACTTGTAAGCAGTCGACTAGGAACTGTGGACGCAAAGTAGTGACGGACACGACAGGGAGATGTGCTTTTGTATCACAGCTACTACTTTCTTCATTCTGTTCCTTTCTGCAGCTTCATGTTTCTCATTCACATTGCTTCTGCTTTGTTTATTCTCCGAAAAGCCTGCATCATGTCTTAGTGCCGCGTATTGAGCCGTCTCTTGCCTTCTCGAAGCCCTGAAACGCGCGGCCACTATGTATCTCTTCATCTCCTGCCATATCCGTAATACCTGTCTTTGTACGCTATAAGCATTGTATGAACTACCGAGAGATAGAGACCAAGGCTTGCACGGTGATTTATGGTGTTTCTTACACCCTAAAAGGCAACGCCCAGCCCGTCCCGTCCTTTGATCAAGCGATCTCGGTGCCGAGACTGATAAAGGCACATAAGTGTCTCTTGCAAGGCTACAGTGCATTGCACATAATTTTCAGACAAGTAGTAATGTGGAGCAAAGCGCGTCCATCTCATACTCCCTATGCAGTAGTCCTACCATACGTGAAGAAGCACACAAAGAGATTATAATGCAGTAAAGAACAGTAGGTTCGAAATCAAACACCAAATGACATGTAATGCCTACATGTATAGTCGCGCAGAAATGAGTGTACAGACGAGCGGAAATGACTGAAAAAGGAAGAGGGACCAAAAAAATAGAAGAAAAAAACCCAAACAGGTAATGAGCGCTAGAACCCGGCAATAATGCAACAACAGCTACACCTTCTCCGGCATGACCACCTCTTCGTGCACAACAGCGACGCCTTTGTCAAGGATGTCGCTGTCGGCTTTGCCGCTCTCGACGGTGCCGTGGAGGCTCGTGGCCTGCGGCAGGTCTTCGGAGCTCGAGCCCAGCTCGCCCGCGCCCGCATGGCGCTCCAGCTGGGTGACACGGAAGCCGACGCCGCTGCCGGTGGTCTTGTAGGAGCCAAACTTGTAGGCGGGGACGCCGGCCTGCCACAGCTCCTCGAGCTCCTCGAGGGAGCGCCTGCTGGTGTCGGGCAGGTAAAAGTAGCCCCAGACGATGCCGAGGATGGAAATGGTGCCGTAAATAAAGCCGACCTTGGACTCGAGGTCGGCGTAGGGCTTGTAGAGCAGGTAGGGCAGCGAAAAGGACACGCCAAACTCGACAATGTTGCTGGCAATGTGGGTGACGGTGAGGGTGCGCTCGCGCAGGCGCAGATGGGGCGTCTCGGCGGCGACGACGGTGCAGGCGCCGTGGTAGCCGATGATGTGGACGATGGCGGACAGGATGTAGAGCGTGATGATGACGTTGCCGACGCGGTGGACGTCCATCATGCCGATGCCGCCAATGAGAAAGAGGCAGACGGCGTAGACGACGGCGTTGACAAAGTAAATGGTGCGGCGGCCAAAGCGGTCAATGACAAACAGCAGCGTCAGCGGCGCAATAATACTCAGACTCTTCTCCATGAGGCCAAACTGCAGCGGGTCCATGGCGCCGATGCCCTTGACGAAGATGGTGCCGTACTTTGTGACAAACGACTGCCCCGTGAAGGAGATGATGAAGATGCTCATAAACACAATGAGCGTGCGCCGCGTGTTGGTGCCCCGGAACAGGTCCCGCCACGCGCCCTGCGTGGCCGCGTCCTCCTCGATCGACGCCAGCAGCAGCTTCGCCTCCTCCTCGGGCGAGTAGCCGTTCTTGGTGCCGTTGAGCCGCCGCAGCGCGCGCACCGCGTCGTCCATGCGGCCCTTGCGCACCAGCCAGCGCGGCGACTCGGGCAGCACCCAGCAGAGCGACAGGCACACGGCGGGCGTGATCCACATGAGGGCAAAGGGGATGCGGTACTGGCGGGCGTCGTCGACGTAGGCCCGGGAGCAGAAGAACGTGGCCAGCGCCGCCGTGACGGAGCCGGAATAGCTAAAGATCATGTAAAACGCAATGACGGAGCCGCGGACCGGGCCGGGGACAATCTCGGCCAGGTACATGGGGATCAGCCAGTCGTGCCAGCCGGAGAACATGGTCAGCACGACGCGGCCGCAGACGACCTGCACAAAGGAGTGCGCCGTGAACAGGATCGTGGCGCCCAGAAGGCTGCCAAACTGCATCACCACGAACACCGCCCAGCGGCCCCAGCGCTCGGCGATCAGCAGGGCCACAAAGAGCATGCCGGCGCGGAAGGGCGTGCCGATCGACCCGAAAATCGACAGCTTGACGGGATCCATCTGCGGGTGGCCGTGGTGATGGGTTCCGTTGCTGCTGCTGCTGCTGTTGCTATGGCTTCCTTCATGTGCACGTGTTCCGTGGTGGTGTGTGGGCTCCGTCTCGTTGAGCGGCAGGTACATGTGAAAGTCCACGTCAAACTGGTCCATGACCTGGACGAGGCTGGTGATGGAGTTGTCGAAGCCAAACTCCAGCACGCTGAGACTGAGCAGCATCAGCGAGAGAAAGGAGATTTTGGTAAAGTGCCTGAAGAACGGCCAAGTCGACGGTTTCGTCGGCCGGGCCCTTGCGTGTGGTGACATTTCGGTGAAGGAAGACGAAGATGGAGACGACGAAGAGAAGAAGGGAAAAGTGAAACAGTGCAAAGACGTGTGTTGGACGAGTAAACGACGTGACCAAAAAAGAAGACAATGGGCAGGGAATACTATATAGAGACACGAACATGAGATATCAGACGACGCGGAATATGGGCAAGCACAAGGGGCATCTGTTCAGGAGCAGTGCCAAGACTTGACGATGCCAAGACCGGAATCAAAAGGCCCATATATGTGAAAACCTGGGGTAGCCTTCTTGCTTTGCAGTGGTCGGATGGACGGACGAGTAACAAGGAACAGCGCCAAGCGGCTCAAGGAAATCAAAATCAAACAAGGGAAAACAAGGGAGTTGGAAGAACAGGGAAGGGGGCAGAAAATACGGAAGAAAGGCACGTGTGCATGTTCGGCTGTTGCCCAACTTGGAAGTGGTTGATGAAAACAAAACTTGTGAGTCGTTTGTCTGATTTCCTGTCTCTCCTCTCTCTTCCTTTTCTAATTGTCATCTACTTTCATCCCACATTGGGGCTGACGACAGCAGGAGTCTGTGCCATCGCGGCCATCGCACGACACAGGACGATTTCTGGCCCTTGTTTATTAGACCGGTATGGGAAAGGGTAAAGGATGCATGGCAAAGCCTCTTCTCCCAATCCCCAGGATTATGTGCATCTCAACTCGCCGTGCCGGGGCCGAGAGTACGAGCTGAGAGGCCACGGCATGTTATTGAGTCGTGTGGCAACGGGCAGCGAACACGGTAGTCAGGATGAGGAAGATGATATAAAACAGGCAAAGGAAAACTCCACAGATAAGAACATGTACCACAGACTGTCGAGCTCGAAGAACGAGGACCACATGAGGGCCGAGGAACGTCGAAAATGGGAATGGGACCGTCCTGGATCCAGGCCGTGGGAACGAGTGGCTGACGTGTTGTCCAATCTGGATAAGTTTGGGGCCACTTCCTTGCTCCTTTGTTAAATACAGATCTTGCTTATAATGCCGGAACGACAGGTCTGGCGACCAGATGGGAGGACGGTAGAAGTGGGGAAAGGGAAAGAGGAACGAGGAGAGTTATCTATGAGCTGGAGGAGTTGGAAGAGGCTTAGAACATGCGGGAGAACACGATGAGCTCGCAGGATGAATTTCCTGTGACCATCTGCAGAACACGAGGCATCCATTCGGGCGAGAGATTCGATGCGGCGGGAAGGACGAGATAGCTGCCAGGAATGAAGAGGAGGATGAAAAGGAAGAAGAGGAGGAAGAAGAGGATTACCGACGGATGCGTTTGTGTGGTCAGGCTGATATTCATAAGAAACGTAAACGACGCTGTACTTTATTCGATAGGAGAAAAGCAAGAGAACATTCATGTGCAAACGACATGAGGATCAGATCCTCATTTTTTCCCCCTATTTTCTTTACGGTTGCGATCACAAACAACACACTCAAAGTGTGGGGTCCACGGACTACCAACAAAGCTGGGGTAGAAACAAAAGAAAAAGATAATCAGTCCCGAATCAGATGGGTTCGAAAACGCAAGGAGCAGGAAAGGAGAATAAAAATAATTAGGGGCCAGCCAAACCCTCACAAAGACAAGCTTTCTTTAGTCGTTCGGCTCTTTTCTCTCGTGCCTTTCTTCCCTTCTTTCCGTAATCTTGGCATGTGTTTATCTTGGCCCTTTCATCTCGACGGCTTCCCCTCCGCACTGTATATGTGCTGTCTCTATCCCACCGCCTGTCGCCTGTTTCCTTTCAGTTTCAAGTTCAACCGCACTGCCAAAACGATATCTCTTGGCGGCTAATTGTCCCGAAATACCCTTGGTCTCCACGCTCTGCAAACCTTCCGATGATCCTTTAGGAGCGGGGATGGTACTATACGGTATCTCGTGGTATTCTGCTAGACGTGGATGTGCAATACGACTTCTCCTTTCCTCCTGACAGCTATCGACACGATGCGGATGCCTTCGCGCCGAGTCATGATCTACATTCTCCCATTTGTGGCTTTCCTGGACTCGTCATCCCTCGTGTTTCTTTCGTGATCATTACACGGAGTATATTACGAACCGGTCCCCGTAAGACATAAGACTCGACAAAGATGCTTTTACCGTCACCCTTCATCCCTAACCCACGTAAAAGCCAATAGACTAAAACGGTAAGCATAGAAAACCAGTGCTTTGTGCCTTTGAATTTGTATATAAATTTCTAGCAAAGCACAG